TGTACTTTGTCATTTTGAACTAATAAAAAAACCCGATGATATTGTCAATTAAACAGAAGAATACCTTTTGCTGTCTATAAATGTGGTAAAAAAGCCAGTATTTGAGCTGATTTCATTTTGAAGCTGTACTGAATAATCATCGAGCTGGACTGGTGAGGAAGGCGAGACTATTTTCGATGCAAAATCGTCTTAAAATGATAACTAGCAAGCTTGAAACTTCATGAAACTTCACAAATGCAAAATCCTAGTTCAATTCTTCAATGAGAAAGCTTTTAGTATTTCTTGTTGATAGTTTTTGAGTACTTTTTTCTCTGTTATCGGCGAAGTACCCGCCATTTTGGATTCTTGAGAAAATTTTCAGTTCGAGAGAGACTGCAAACTAATAGGCTTCCTGTGGTTCGAGAGAGACTGGAAACTTCGACACCACGACAGAAAAAAGGTAAAACTATAGCTGGCTAGCACAGCTAGCCCGCTAATAAGTAGAATGAAATTGAACAAAACACCAACTTGAAGTTTTAATATCTCTGTTTTAATAGACGTTTCGGCACTTCGGCCAATTATTATATATATTGAAATAATAGTTTATTATAATTATAAAAAAAATAGTTATACACAAATTCATGCCCAAGACACGATAATAAGCAACTAGGCATCCATAATCAACTATTTAGCCTCGAAAATGTTTGAAAATGCTCGAGCTTTTAAATTTGGCCTCCATATTCTGAAAGTGCATGATTTGATTCATCCTTGCTAAATATATGAGAGTCTTGTAGTGTGCCGTAACTCGTTCACTATTGAACTGATTGACAACAGATTTTGGAATTTTGCATTTCTCAACATGGGCTTTCTTTCTATGTAAGTCTTATCTCGTGAAATCTTGTGATCATCCAATTAGGGGATTTTGCCCAGTCCCCACTCGGTTTGAAATCCGGCAATAGCGGATATACCAGCCGATATACAAGCGATTTTATGGTCGGGTGACCACATACGAACGCTTGTAAATTTGGTCGCGTTCCTTTCGTTATGAACGAGACCAAATTATAAAGCGTTTCAGTGGTCAGCCGACCATAAAATCGCTTGTATCTCCGCTATAAAAAAGTAGTTTTGTGAGCATTCCGTAGGTAAATATGTTATAGCTTAGCTAATATTTCACAGTCACAACAGCTTATTGCGTTCACATTGATGGAATAGATACTTCTATGATGTAAGGGTCGTCTATCATTCGACCTTTGATAGAAAGATAAATTGGAATATCACGTACACCAATATGTACGTCTTTTAATCTACTAACAGAAATGGCTTCTCTTTATCTTCACAATACAAGTTTATTTTCATTTGCTAAAAACTTTCA